GGGACAGCAGTGGTGTCCCTTGCAGCCTCCTGAAAGAGCCACGGGTTTGGGAGACGGCTGCTCGCAGTCGCTCTGTGGGGATGGGGAAATGGGCTCAGTCGTTTTCAGTCCCACTAGAGGCTGCTATGATGGGAATCAGTATTCTGACTCTACTTGCTGGAATATAGTTAAAGGGTGACTATTTTTCTCTTTTTTTAATGCGTAGAATGTTGGTTTTTTTTTTCCCCCCTGTAAGGTGAGGATTTGGATTGCCGAAGAGGTTCCTATTTAAAAGGTATAAACCACCCTACGTTATCACGTGCTGCCACATTTGCCAAGAAGCAAATGTGATAAGGGGTGGAGAAAAGCCACACTAGAGACTGCTTCTGGAGTTGATGCAGACTAACCCCATGGTTCTCTCCTGAGACTTACGGTGATATCCCTGATTTGTGAGAAGCCATTGGGCATTTGCTCTTTCATTAACTACAGAGTCTTGCACACTTTCCCACCTCAGCTCTTGGAGGCGAGGTATCTGCTGACTTTCATTGTTCATGTCACAGGTTGGTTCCTGTAAACTGTTTATTTTTATTTCTAATATGTCTCTGTACATGGGGACTCTTTTGGGTTGATCTGGGTGCAGACTGGGTCCTGACAGCCTGCATCCCCTGAAACAGGGTTGATTTTTTTTTTTTTCCCCTTTTCTAAATGAGCCCTGAATGACTACTCAGATTTATGCTTGCTAGGTAATGTTTACCCTGGCTTCTATTTCCTGGGTACTCTATTACTCATTACTGTTCAAATTCTAGCAAATAAGTAAACGATTTTTGCTATGGCAACAAGAATCTGGTAGCTGAACAGGACAATATTCCCTGAAAAGCCTGCCTTATTCTTCCCAGTGTGGCTCTGATTGCTGGGCAGAGTATTAATATATTGATATATGGCTTTGGGTTGTACCTTGGTTTTGTGACGCAGTTCTGGGCGAAGCATTCAGCTGAGCAAATAGTGACAAATCCCTGCAAACATCCACAGCTGAAGGATGCAAAATTCTTCCTTTCCACAACTGCTGGGGCAGAAAGAGAGGAACCGCTGCTGAGACCCAATGAGCAGAGCTCTCTGGCTGGGCTTGAGTGCGCTTGGCTCTTCTAGAATACATTTTTCTTCTAAAGGAAATGACCTCTTTGGCCTTTTGTGTTTCTATAAAAGTTTATATGGTCTGGCAAGAGGCTGCAGGCTGTGCAAACCTGTTGTCTGTGCCACTACTGGGTTCTTGAGTTAGTTTTTTTCCAGATGGTTCCTGGGCCTGAATCTGCCTGTGTTCCCTACACACAGTGCTCAGCTCTGCTCATTAGCAGAGGGTTTCTTAAGGCAGTTATGTTGACCCACGTGTCCCCTCGTTTTGCTTGAATAAGTTTCCCTCCATCTGCTGCTGGATCAAGCAGAGTTGCTTTGTGATTCCCCTGAAACCACCTCATGCTTGGGGAGGGGAGCTCATGAGGGAACCCAGGCCATGCCACGGCAGGTTTATCACTTTGAGTCTTGAGGCAGCTTTTGGGGCTCTCGCTCTGTGTGGGCAGGGTTGACCGAGTGCCCGGGGGTGTGTACGGGTGCGGGGAAGGCGGCCGCTGGTGCGGAGCCTGTTTGCCTGTTGTTCCTCCGGTGTTTGCTTGGCCTGGGTGCGTCCCAGTGTGTTACTGCAGAGCGGCCGTGGGGCTCCTCCTGCTTCTTGGCAGCAGCACACTGGGTACGGGGG